CAAAAGATACGTCACTTTGGGAGGGAAACTATGCTTTTGTTTCCACAGGAAAGGGGAGGCTATTAATTCATTCCATGTGAAGAAAAATCAGGTATGATAGAGGAAGAACCCCTGAAAAATCACTGATGGGAGCAAATGGCTCAGATGATCCAACATCTTCGAGCACCTCTGTTGTAGTTTCTTCTGAGTTCTACATCCAGAACAGCTTCAAGGCAACTAGCTGAGATGATCCAGCCTCACAGAATACTCCAGCAGGACTTCACCATAATCCTAAATTTTCTCATTGTCTCCCAAAGATTACCAGTTTCCCCAATCAACAGGAAGTAGTCTAGATAACTATGACACCATTCCTCCTAAATGAGTTGCCAGTGTTTATTATGATTTTGGGGAGTAGGCTGGTCACAAGTTGTTACTGGTAATGGTCAGGAAAAATGCTAAGCAAGATTGAATTCAAGGATCTCTTTCTGAAAAGAAAATGGAGGGATATAGAAATGATAGGAGAAAAGGGTAGATTACTGAACATACTTTAATCCAAAAATAAACAACTATTAATCTTAAATATTTTACATTGGTATGGATTTTAGTTTATTGATGCAAATTGAAAGTTATATCTGTTATGTTGTATGTGTGTTTCTACTCTTCTTTGGGCTATTATACATAAACAGCTCATTTAAAAATATAATGTATAGCCGGGACACAAAAGAAAACAACTACCAAACATTGCCAAGACAAGGTAAGACAGTCCCTCAAAATTTCCTGCTTCTGAAAAAAGTGTGCCAGATATACTAGGTCTATGGGCCAAAGATGGATGCCCCAAAGTTACAGAAAAACTTTGGATGACTGTCCAGGGTGCCTGATAGCCCTGTCATTAGGTAATGTTTCATCCTTCTGCGTCTTTGCTGGAGTTGAAGACTTGATAGGTATAGTTTTCCTTAGTTATGATAAAAGGTAAATTAGGATAAAAAAAACTGGAATCACAATGGATGAGAAAAATATTAAAATATTGTCTCTAATTTTGTCAAATACAAATGGACTGGATATTCTAACTATAATTCTTGCTTAATAACTGTTCTGTTATATATAGTTATACTATTAAAAAACTTCCTTTTTATATAGACAAAAAGAGGAAAATACTGTGGAATAATCCTTCTGTACTCTGAATGTGTAGTATTCTCATTGGTTATTTATTATTATTATTTTTATAATTATTATTATTATTATTATTATTATTATTATTATTATTATTATTATTATTATTATTATTATTATTATTATTATTATTATTATTATTATTATTATTATTATTATTATTATTATTATTATTATTATTATTATTATTATTATTATTATTATTATTATTATTATTATTATTTATTGTTTAATAAAAAACTGACATGCCCATAGCCAGATTGGAAGCACAGGCAGGACAGCCAGAGAAGGAAAGAATGCTATCATGAAAAGGGGCAGGGGCAGGAGACATGCCAGCCAGCTGAACAAGCAGGACATAGAGAAAATGAGGTAATGAGCCAGGAGCCACATGGCTAAAATTACTTAGAAATATGGGTTGATTTAAATGTAAGAGTTAGCTATAATAAGTCTGAGTTATTGGCTGAGCATTTACAGGTAATGTTAAGTCTCAGTGGGAGTTTTTTTGGGAAATGCTGGTGGGAGAGAAAATTCCACCTCTAGGCATCACTTAGCCAGGTGCTGTATCCTGTGACTGTGTCCAAACTGTTATCAGGAAACTGTGTCTATAATCCCCGCTACCTCCTCTACTAAAGAGAAACCAAGAAGCAGAAATTAGAAAGGGAATATAGGTTTATTTATTTACAGTTTGGCCAAATCAGGAAGAGAAAGATTTCTTCTTTCTCCACTTTTTCCAGAAGCAGAGTTACAAATTTATAGGCAAGAAAAAACAGAAGCCTGGACATATGCTTGTGTAAATCTAACTGGGAAATAAACTGTGAGAATTGTGGGAAACCTCTTCCTGTGAGGTAAGTTCCTCCTCTGATGCTTCAGGACTGAGGCTCTTTAACCTTCAACCAATAAATTTTTGCATCCATTGCTTTAAGGTTTTGATTTCAATAGTATTGTAACCAAAAAGGCAACTTAGTGGCCTTTTTATGTGTCTCCTCCCTGGCCAGGGCATTACTATAGAATACAGAAGCAGATTTTTCTAAAGTGCTGGTTCTGACATCTGCCTAAACATTCAACTTGCCTTTCACTGTAAGTATTAAGGTTAGTGTGTTTGGGATGGAGAGAGAGTTCAGTGATTAAGAGCCCTCCTTCTTTTTCAGAGAACCTGACTCAGTTCCCAACACCCATAAGACAACTCACAACCACCTGTAACTCTGGTTTCAAAGGATCCCCTCTTCTTGCCTCCATAGACCCCCCCCCATGCCTGCAGTACACATCAACTTATGCAGGCACACACATACACACATCAAATAGGAGAATAAAAAATAATATATTTAAAGTTTGCATGTTTATAAGACATTTGTACTGGTAGTCCCAATTGACAATGGACTAGATTTATGAATCATCTCCTGAAAAAATTCAATAGGGGGAGTGTTGTGAAATATTATTGAAGATGTGTTACATTTCTTTATGTTGTGGAATATTTGTTTAATAATGCAAAGCTGTGTTGCATTTATTTTTTATGTCACATCAATTGAACTCTGTGAAGCTGTTTTGCTTTGCCTGTCTAAAACATCTGATTAGTCCCATAAAGAGCTGAATGGTCAATTGCTAGGCTGGAGAGAAGGATAGGTGGGGTTGCCAGCCCGAGAGAATTAATAGAAGAGAGAAGAGGGAGGAGCAACAACAAAAAAGGAGAAGGAAATGAAGACGCCAGGGGCCAGCTGTGCAGCCACACAGCCAACCGAGGAGTAAGAAGGAAAGAAGGAAATACAGAATTGAGAAAAGTAAAAGCCCAAGGGCAAAAGGCAGATGGGATAATTTAAGAAAAGTTGGCTGCAGCAGGGTGGTAGGGGAACACGCCTTTAATCCCAACACTCAGGAGGCAGAGGCAGGAGGATCTCTGTCGGTTCCAGACCAAACTAGTGTAGAGAGAGAATGCCAGAACAGGCTCCAAAACTACACAGAGAAACCCTTGTCTCAAGAAACCAACCAAACAAATAAACAAAAACAAAGAAAAGAAAAGCTGACTACAAAAAAGCCAAGCTAAGGCTGGGAATTAATAAGTAAGAATAAGTCTCCATGTAGTTTATTTGGGATCTGGGTTGCAGACCCCTAAAAGGGCAAATAGGAAAAAAACAAAACAAAAAACAAAAAACAAAAACAAAAAAACCCCACAACTCCAGGGTACCTAGACACAAAGAAAGGGAACAATAGGGCCATCTCCAGTCAGTTGCTTTCCAGGCAGTGTGTGGAACAAACAAATTTCTGTGTCAGTGTCCTTTGAATTAAACAGCCTGACAAGTGATCAACAATATTTAATAGATTCGAATTCTTAGGGTTTCTATTCCTGTAACGAGACACAATTGCCATGACAACTCTTATAAAGGAAAACATATAATTGGGAATGGATTACAGTTCAGAAGTTTAGTAAATTATTGCCATGGCAAGACATGTTTCTCTGCTCAAGTCAGTCCCTGTGGTTATTTGAATAAAAATGGCCCCAGGAGGCCCATCAGGTGGGGCACTATTAGGAGGTGTGGCCTTGTTGGAGGAAGTGAGTCACTAGGGGCAGGCTTTGAGGTCCCAATGCTCAACCAGGGCAGTGTGTCATTCTCTTCCTGCTGCCTGCTATCTGATGTAGAACTCTCAGCCCTCCTCCAGCACCATGTCTGTCTCAATGCTGTCATGCTTCCTGCCATCACAATAATGGGCCCAAGACAAAGAAGTTTGTTTCAGTCAACAAAGATGAAAGGAATTGGGAATCTGAACAACACTTTGACCTCAGACGGGGAGATGCAGAGTTTGGAGTTTGCCCAGCTGGTTTTTGCCTTTGCTTTGGATCCGTATTTTCTCCCTATGCTCCCTTCCCTCCATTTTGGAATGATAATGCATATCTTGTACACTGTGTGTTGGAAGTATGTGATCTGCTTTTTCATTTGATTTTACAGGGTATTACACGTGAGACATTACCTGAGTCTCACAAGTGACTTTGAAATAGATAGACTATGGGGACTTTTGAAGTTGCACTGAATGCAATTTTGCATTAGGATCTGGCTACAAGGCTATGGGGGCCTGGGAGTCTAATGCAGTGGTTTGAATAACAATAGCCCCCATAGGGAGTGCCACTATTAGGTGGTGTGCCTTTGTTGGAGTAGGTGTGGCCTTATTGGAGGAAGTATGTCACTGTGGAGGCAGGTTTTACTCTCTCATATGCTGAAGACACACCAAATGTGGGATTCAGGTCTCTTCTGCTGCCTACAGATCAAGTTATAGAATTCTCAGCTCCTCCTGCATGTTTGCCTTTACATTGCCTTGATGATAACGGGCTAAACCACTAAAACTGTAAGCCAGCATTTTCCTTCATAAGAATTGCTGTGGTCATGGTGTCTCTTCACAACAATAAAAGCCCTAAATAAAACAGGCACTTAACAAGACAAAGGGAAGCAAATTCCATGTGATCCAATTGGACTAGAAGGTGACACCTGCAGAGGTTCATTAGGATAACCACACCAGGCAAGCTGGGATGAACCACTTCCTGACTGCAGGGGACCTGACCTGCAGATGGACTCTTCCATCACCAAACTTCCCCATTACCATCTTAGCAACTCCTAAAACAACAGAGCCTCATGAGTAGAGTCTCCGTTCCAAGGAGAGAGTGCACAACTTCAGTCCTTTAGACTGAGGAACAATTGTGTTGTGAAGATGCCAGACTGGTTTCTTTATATCCACATCACCTCCATCAATCCCAGTCTAACAGCATCTTCTGGTGCCAGGGTTGTCTCTTTCTGGACAGCTGAATGGAACTGACATGTCAGTCTGTTACAGAGGCTTCTCACCATCAGGTCAGAGTAGAGGGCAGGGGGACCAATCCCTGTTACTTCTCAGTTTTTCTGATGAGAAGCCAGCAAGGTTCATTTTCACTTTCCAGTTTCAGCTTCCTACTGGTGACATCAAGAACACATCACAGCTCACAGAGCTGTTTCCCAGCCCTGTCTGAGAGTTCAGGTGGTGAGAAAGACCACAAGACAGCAGAGAGTCAAGGCGTGATTCTGAGGAGCCCTATCCTGGTGTAAACCCAGACAGCAGCTGACACCTTAACAACAACCATGTGGTAAGGATTTCCCTGCTCTGCAGTTTGAGTGAACCGAAGAGACGGGCATTTGTGTGTGTCCAGGTCTGATTCTTTCTGCTTATATTCGTTTGTTCTGTCCTGTGGCTTCTCTTTCTGCCGATGAAAAGGGAATAATGATTGTCCTGATGGTCAAGAGTTTTTGTTTAGTGGCAGTAACGTGTGCACCAAGCTGGATGGGAGAAAGGGAGCTTGCTTTAGTTTTTAAGTCTGTTTCACATGTGTAGTTCAAAATATCTAGGGAGACTTTAGCATGTTCATCTCACACAAAGAGAGAATTATCAATGAGACCTACAGGATTGGACAAGGCACCACTCTACCCACCTCTGTAGTTCAAAATGAGAAGTCCAGGCTAATAGTGTCCTCCTGTCCATCTCCTGACACCCAGTCCCTCATTGCCCTGGGATGTACTCACCAGACCTCAAGACCTCTTGAGATGCTATTCAAGGTTTCTGTGACAGGTGATTTCTACCCATCCCATGCTGGGTTAACCAATGGACAGGACATATTTTTTTCTGTCCCCCAATGGGAGACAACAAAGTGGAAATTCTGCTACATTTGATGAGAGACATTTAAGGCTTTCCAAAGAAACTAAAAATACCCAGATATATATGCATGTATGTATATATATTATATATATATGTATGTATGTATGTATATTTAAACACACACATATACACATATAACAGAGAGATATACTAACATAGTTGGGTGCATTATTTATGTAAATGTCTCTGACTTGTATGTTTGAAATTCCCCTTCATGTTTAAAGTGTCAGCCAGTAGAGGTGTTTTCCCTTGCATGTAGTGCTACACTGATTGTCTCCACACTTTGGCAACTATTTATATGTCCTTGAATATAAAATCATTCATAGTAAATGAGTATGGAGGAGGATGAGAGCTGCTGTTGTATAATGAGACAGAAGACAGAGATCACAATGGTAAAAACAAACAAACAAAACAAAAAAAAAAAAAAAAAACTGTGGAGCCAAGTTAACCAGACAGCAGAAGACCAAATAGACCGAACCAAAAAAAGTCCCCTCACCACAAAATAATCAAAACACCAAGCTTACAGAATAAAGAGAAAATATTAAAAGCAGCAGCAAAGGAAAAAGTCAAGTAACATATAAAGGCAGACCTATCAGAATTACAGGCTGGAGCTCTCCAAGTACATGGGGGATCCTGAGTAACTAGGTGGACAGTGTGGACCTGGCTGCTCTCTGTCACCAGTACCTACACAGATGGCTGTGCCTCTGTGCTGCTCAGCTTTCCTGCTGCAAGAGCTCATGCACAAGGGCTGTGCCTCCACCTTGGGCACAGATCTCCAGAAGGATCCTGGTGAGCCTGATGAGCTTGGTGAGCCCAGTAAAGGTTCATCTTCCTGGGCAGCTGATGTCCATTGTTTAGGTGCTCTGAGTTTCCCCCAAATGGCTTTATTTCCCAAAGGAGGTGGACATAATCTCTAATTCTAGGTGTGGGCTGTTGTATGCAGGGAAAGCAAAGAAAGGCAGGATTGAATCTGATGTCCCTGGTGTTTTTGTTTTGTTTAAAAAGAAGAAAAGAGAAATGCTGAGACATGACACATATTGACTATAAGTTTATTATAATGCCTGGCAGACAGGGAAGGACATATTTCCGGGGTCTCTGCACATTCCATGGCAGCAGATTAATGGTCTGCATAAAGCAAGAAGAAAACTTAGTTAGCCAGTGTTGTTCAGACTCCTAGATTCTAACCCCAAGCAGTGTGTTTTAAGTATATTTAAGTACAGTACAATTTGGAACAAAAAGTTCCCTGGTGTAATAAAACTCCATTGTGCACAAGAAGGCATAATTACATTGAATCTCAACTCCAAGTACATTTCACTGCTTCCATGAAGATGGGTTGTAGGGATAGGCTTCAGGTATTATTCAGGAAAGGATGTGGTGTGGTGTCAGCCATACCAATAGCATAGATGTCATTTGGGGTATTTGCCACATCCCTCCCTGATTTAGGGAGGTTGGGAGAGGGTCTGACCATTCAGATAAGGTAAAGGCCACCTAGACTATTGGTCAGCTCTGGGCCTGCTGTGGGAGCTTAATATAATAACAATCTCCATGTTATTAGTGACCCCTATTCCAAAGTTTCTGGGTGGAAACACAAGCCATACATTTTTCCTATGGAAGAGACTCTCCTGAGAGTTTATCATCTCTGGTTTGCTTAGTGCTTATATGTGAGGGAAAGAATCTTTTTGCTCTGAACTGACAGAGATGGGAAGAGAATGGGAAAATACAGAGACAGATAGGGAGAGATGGAGAGACAGACAGACAGACAGACAGACAGACAGACAATGTGGAGGCCCCCTGGAAGTCTGCTTTTCTTCTCTTATCTAAGTATCACAGTATCCTTGGGGAGCTACTGGCTGCCTCATGGCTAGGTGCTATTTCCTCATTTTCCCTCCTGCCAATAAGGCCTATTTACAAATATGCAGATTATCTGCATATTGCCAGGGGCTTAAGAGCCTGAACTTTAATCTGAGTTACTTCCTAGGGTGCTGCTGATGGTATATGAGTCAACTCCCCTCTAAATAAAATTGGCATTCTTCTTTCAAGAATGACTGGCTGTCTTGTCTTTATTAAATCCGCAGATCCCTTGCTGGAACCGGTAAGGAGTTGTAAGGATGGACACTACATAGTGGAGGTCCTCACCAAGATGGAGAAAGAAGGGAATGCACACTGATGGATCACCGGTGGAATTACTGGCTAACTTCAAGGTAGGAACGGGTGTATTGATATGGCTGCCTCAACTCCTGAGAGACTTAGGCTGGTAAGGTACTATAAGGGTGCCTCAGGTCCCAAAGGAGCTGGATTGAAAATAGAGTATGCTGTCTTAAAAAGAAATAAAAAAAAGAAAAGAAAAATATAGAAAAAAACAGAAATAAAAACATATATAAAAGTAGAAAAATGAGAAAAATCGAGCATTAGTGTAAGATCACTGGAAGCTCAGGCCTCCAGAATCTTTTCCCAGGACTGCAGCCACCCCAATCACCATGAGGAGGCCGAAAGTTGATGCAAACAGCAAGAGGCTTTAATGAAAGGTAGACTTGTATAAACAGGCTCTCTCAGCATGCAGGCTACAGAGCAGCCCTGGCCTTCACTATGGGGAAGGGATCTCTTGAGAGACATGGGCTTCAAATTGAGCAATGAATATTCCCCTACTTCTCAAAAAATGATGAAGGACATGGGATACCATCCAGATTATGGATTAGGTAAATATTTACAAGGGAGAAAGGAGCCAGTGCAAACACGACAAAGAAATCCCAGGCAAGGTTTGGGTTTTTCCTAGGGGCCGCTGAGGAGTGAATTCTCATTACCTGGAAGACAGAGGAACCGGTATGGGTTCCTCAGTGGCCACTGTCCTCTGAAAAACTGAGCGCAGCAAAGGTCCTTGTGGCTGAACAGCTGGCATTGGGACACATTAAACCATCAGTGTCTCCGTGGAACACCCCCATCTTCGTGATTAAGAAAAGATCGGGAAAATGGCGCCTACTGCATGACCTAAGGGCAATCAATAATCAAATGCAGGTAATGGGCCCAGTACAATGAGGGCTGCCTTTGCTGTCTGCCTTGCCAGCATCCTGGCATATCATTGTGATTGACATAAAAGATTGCTTCTTTTCTATCCCCCTTTATGGCAAGGATAGTGAAAGATTCGCTTTCACCATTCCATCTCAAAATCATGAAGAGCCCGATCAAAGATTTGAATGGGTGGTGTTGCCCCAAGGAATAGCCAATAGCCCCACCATGTGTCAACTTTATGTTGGGGAGGCTATTGGACCACTGAGAAAAGAATTCCCTGCCCTAAAATGTCTTCATTATATGGATGATGTGTTATTGGCTGCTAAAGAAGAGATGATGTTAGACAAGGCTTATATAAAGTTAGTTAAGCTGCTTGAAAGAAAGGGGCTGTTTATTGCCCCCCAAAAGGTGCAGAAAGAGAGAATGGTCACCTACTTGGTAGCAAAGATTGATGGGAACGGTATTATCCCACAAATGATGGAATTGAGTAAAGATAATTTGAAAACTTTAAATGATTTTCAGAAACTGTTAGGAGATATAAACTGGGTTAGATGTTATTTGAAGTTACCAAATTATGAGTTGAAACCTTTATATAGTGTGTTAAATGGGGACTCAGCTTTAGATTCCCCTCAACAGTTAACTCCTGAAGCAGGGGGTGCCTTACAAAAGGTGGAGGAAGGACTACAAGGTGCTTTCCTACAAAGATGTAGAGAAGGCCATGCCATCACACTATGCATCCTTCCTACATACTAGCAACCTACAGGCTTGCTTTGGCAAGAGGGCCCGCTGCTATGGATCTACCCTAAGATATCTCCTGCTAAATCCACTGAGCATTATCCCCCTGCAGTGGCAAGGTTAGCCTTAAATGGGATCCAGCATTGCTTACAATTTTTTGGCATGGCCCCTAATATGATTGTGGTGCCTTACTCCAGTCATCAAGTTAAGGTTCTTTGCTCCACGGTTGACGATTGGGCCATCCTGCAATGTGGATTTAATGGAAGTATAGATAACCATTATCCCAGACATCCATTATTAGGTTTTTTCAGGGAACACCCCGTGATATTCCCAAGGATGACATCGCCTCAGCCAGCCCCAAATGTGTTTCCTGATGGTTCTAAGACTGGCTGTGGGGCCTACATGATATCGGGACGAGAGCCCGTGCTACATCAATTCCAGCCTGGCCCCCCCAGATTGTAGAATTGAAGATAGTAATAGAGGTTTTTAAGGCATATTCCTTCGCTTTTAACTTGATTTCTGATTCAGCCTATGTTGTTAATGCTGTTAACATCCTGAAAGTGGCAGGACCCATAAAAGGTACCAGTCCAGTTTGACTTTTGTTTAAGCAACTTCAACACTTAATTTGGCAAAGAATTGCTTTTCTGTCCAACATATCAGAGCCCATACAGGTCTGCCAGGACCACTGAGTGAGGGTAATGACAGGGTTGATCAGTGGACCAGAATGGATTACATATTTTTAAGTTCCACCTTGGAAAAGGCAAGAGATTTTCATAAGACTTAACATGTAAATGCCAGGGCTCTGCAACGGAAGTTTCATCTTTCTCGAGCAGATGCTCGACAAGTGGTTCTAAATTGTCCTCAGTGCATAGTGTATCACCATCCACCCAGCTTAGGGGTCAATCCTAGAGGCTTGATCCCCCTAAAAATTTGGCAAATGGATGTCACTCATGTTTCAGAGTTTGGAAGTCTTAAGTATGTTCATGTTTCTGTTGATACCTGCTCAGGCATTATACATGCCACGCCCTTATCCCGGGAAAAGGCAAGCAATGTTATCGCCCACTGACTGGAAGCATGGGCAGCGTGGGGCAAGCCACAACAGCTGAAGACCGATAATGGGCCGGCTTACACAGCTCAGAGCTTCACTTCCTTCTGCCAGCAGATGGAAATCCAACTTAACCATGGTCTACCTTATAACCCTCAGGGGCAAGGCATTGTGGAATGTGCGCATCACACTCTGAAAGATTGTTTATCAAAACAAAAAGGGGGAATTGGCCACGGCCGCACCCCAAGGGAAAGAATATCCCTTGCCTTATTTACTATCAATTTTTTAAATTTGGATGCCCAAGGCCATTCTGCGGCTGATAGACATCAGGACCCACATGGCCCTTCTAAAGGGATGGTAAAATGGAAGGATATTCTGACAGGCCTCTGGCGTGGGCCTGATCCCGTGC